TTTAATATAGTGAATTTATTACTCTTGTCTTGTGGCTTGTAGTTTTTTGTAGTTTAGGAATTCCTTTCTTAACTCAAGGTCATTAAGTGGAAAAATAAACTTATATTTATTTTTCCTAAAGTTTAGTGTTTCACATTTCATAATTAAGTTTAATTCAAGTTTGAGGTAGTTATCCAATTTCATTCTTTTTCCACATGGATAATTAGTTGTCCCATAATCACTTAGGAAATAGTCCTTCTTGTCCCCATTGATTTTCTTTGACAGCCCTGTCTTATGTCAGGCTTTCATACAAAAGAGGGTCTGTTTCTGGTTCTTTATTCTGTTCCATTAATATCTTATTCTACCCCTGAACCCGTTTCTCGTTATCTTAATTATCATAGCTTTATGAGAAGACTTGAGACCTATTAGGATAGGAATAACCCACCATCACCACCCATCTTATTATTATGATTTTTCTTCAAAATTGACCTGGCTATCCTAAGCTCATATTTTTTGTGCAGAAGAGTGACATTATCTGAGTTACATTATTAAAAGGACCACCCTGGCTGCTGTGTAAACAATAATAATTAATGATATCAGAGAGAGAGAAAGGAAAGAACTGCCAGAACTATGTGCTTGAATAGCTGAGCAGAGATGGCATCCGGTGGAAGTAGGAGGGGTCAGCTTTAGAGAACAACATGCAAAATTCATCTACAGTAACGGGGCAGAGAATATGAGTAGAGATGCTAGTAGTGTGGCAGTGGGAGTAGAAAATTTCTCTTCTGACTGCTTTAATCTTCTCAATAAAGTCATCAGTTAAGAGTGGGGATGGTTGGTGAGTAGCGTCTGGGATCTTTAAAGCTGTGAGCGGCCATCTAAGATACTCCACTGGTCCCACCCCGTCTGGAGCAAGGGAGAATGAAGAAAATCAAAGACATAAGGGAAAGATTAGTCCAAAGGACTAATGGACCAGAACTACCACAGCCTCCATCAGAGAGAGTCCAGCACAACTAGATGGTGCCTGGCTACCACCACCGACTGCTCTGACAGGGATCACAGTAGACGGTCCTGGACAGAGTGGGAGACAAATGTAGAACAAAATTCAAACTCACAAAAAAAGACCAGACTTGCTTGTCTGACAAGGACTGGAGAAACCCCATGAGTGTTGTCCCCAGACACCCTTTTAACTCAGTACTGAATTCACCAGCCAAAGATTAGACAGGCCTATAAAACAAACAATAGCACACGTAGTGCAACCATGTATCTGAGACTATATCGGTGTACTAGCCCAGGGGCAAGGACAAGAAGGCAAGAGGGGACAGAAAAGCTGGAGGAATGGAAATGGGGAACCCGAGGTTGAGAAAGCGAGAGTGTGGACACATCGTGCGGTTGGCAACCAATGTTGCAAAACAATATGTGTGTTAATTGTTTAACGAGAAACTAATTTGCTCTGTAAACTTTCACCTAAAGCACAATAAAAAAATTTTTTGAAAAGAGTATGAAAATAAATAAATTGACCCACGAAAGAGTGAGGTTGGAAAAAAGGTGATGGGAGTTTGAGTAGAAAGGCGAAGGTAAGAACCACTGTCGAAGAGAATTGGGAAGTAAATGATTGCCCAGAGGCGTTAAGAGCCCACTTAAGGTTTAGGATCATTAATTTAAAGTGAGACCAGTCTACACAGCTGTGAGTTTTCCCCAGACACATATAGCTGCAGAGGGTTGGATTTAATCAGGGTTCTGGTTTTGCTAATTGAATAAATAAAGTCAAAGATGGTAAAGGAGTCAAAGATACAGTTAAGAGAGTGATTATAGTGGTGGGCAATGAATTTAATCTAAACTGTAATCGACTCAACAGCAACTGGTTTAAAGAGAGAAGCAAAGACATCAGGAGGGTGAGGAACAGTGAAAAGGTAGGCAAGATCAATAAATTGGAGATTTTATGGGATCAAGGAATTGTTGGGGTCAGTGTACTAGAGAGAGGTACCTTGAAAAATGGGAAGTAGTAGAAAGAAGATGGGATGCATAAAATTGAGATTATGAAGTCTACAGTGATTGGCAATTACAAGGTCAATGCAGGACTGGCTTCATAGGCATGCAACCTATGCAGTCACCCACAGCCCCACACTCAGAGGGCTTCACACTTGGTTTAATTCTCTATTGTCACAATGTTGAAATCCCTAAAAAATTTTTAACGAGGGGTCCCACACTTTCATTCTGTACTGAGCCCCGCAACTTATGTAGCCAGTCCTGCTTATAAGCATGAGAGTGAGTGGTTAGGGTAGGTGGAGAACCAGATTATTGCAGGAAAGGAGTTTAAGGACCTGAGAAATTAGGGTGTTGAAGGATAATCTACATGTGAATTGAAATTGCCCAGGAATTGAATTTAGACAGGAACTGTATTGAAAATAGTGACAGTGAAGTAGGAGCTAAAACCTGGAGAACTGAATGGTAACCAGGGGTCAGGAAATGACAGCAACAGTGAGGCGCAGTGGGTGATATAATCTGATGGCATGAAATTCAAAGCCAAGGATTCATAGGATGGAGGGAAGCAGCACTGAGGTGCCATGAGAGCAAGAAGAGCACTAGTCTCCTCTCCCGGTCCTGTAGTGAGAAGCTGTGGGAGAATGAAGCAGCCTTTTAGAGGGCTGTAGGAGAAGCAGTGTCCTCAGGGGAGAGTCAGGTTTCCTTTGGAGCAAGAGGGTGAAGAGGATGATGGGAGAATAGGTTGAAGGTACAGGAGATTTTATGATGGTGGACCTTAAGCTCCAGGGAGCACAGTGGAAGGGTTTCAGGAGCTGAGAAGAAGGCAATAAAACAAAGACTGTCGAGAGTCTTGTGGGATTAGAATGCAGGCTACAAAGATGACCTGAGAGACTAGGGGCTTTTGTAATGACTGACAAACCAGGATAAATGGCATAATGAGATTAGCCTGATGGATTCAAGATGGAGAAAGTGGAGGCAAGATTATGAGTGTTGGGAGGGTGGAGAGGGGCTCCCTGGTCACCAGTGGTGATGGAGGAGAAGGCCTTGGGAAGCACGGTCTTTTAACATATCTTTAGCGTAAATGCATACTGAAAAGTCATGTTTCTTTAAAAGTTTTATAAAATACTAAGTAGAACCCAAACCAAAAACCTGATGCTGTCAAGTTGATTCCAACTTGTAGCGATGCTACAGGACAGAATAGAACTGCCCCATATGGTTTCCAAGGAGAGGATGCCAGATTCCAGCTGCCAACCGTTTTATTACCAGCGATGCTCTTAACCACTGAGCCACCAGGGCTTCAAAAGGTAGAACAGAGGGCATTAAAAATAAGTTTTTTATGTCTACTCCATAACAGTCATATAATGTAGATACTAAACTTACTGCTCTGTAATGTCTTGTAGCGTTCATTGGTAAACATTCTAAGTAAATGCATTTAGGTATATAAATCAGTTTCTTGTGAAGCATTACTGCAGTGTGGCTTTTTATTTCATTAAAAATACTTTGCCAAGAATAAGACCATATCTGAGCAATGTCTGTCTTTACAATTTGAAGGAAATAGCTTTTTTACTAATGAACATTACAGAACCTCCGTTTGTTGTATTCTTTTATGCTCCTCTAGTGAAGATTTTCCTAATTACATTCAACAATGTAATTAAAATTAAAGTCATTTACTTAAGAATCTAATATAGGCTGTATGACAGTTAGGTTTCAAAAAACTGTGTGATTGACCAAATGCAATGTATGGACTTTGTTTGTATCCTGATTTGAACAATCCATCTGTGAAAAGACACTTTTGAGATCTCTTCCCAGACTTGTGGGTTCTTTAAGGACACATTTGTCACATGTGTGCAAGGAATCATGTAAAACTCTTATTGCTTGCCGTGCAATTTGAAGACACGTACTGGGTTATTCTGGTCTTAGAAAATCCCACAAAAGGGATTGGATTTAAAGTCAATTATCAAAGCCTCCAGACAATTAGTGCGAAAGTGTCCTTAGAGTAGCACCTGTACCTTACAGCTATAAGTGACTCCTTGTCTTATCATTTTTGACTTATCAATTCAGTCAAAAGATTAGTCAACTAATTCTTGGCATGGATATGGGTGGGGAGGAATCAAAAAGATAGCTTGAACCTCATGTCAATGTCTTTGATGCTCATTTTTTTACATTTTAATATTTCTGTGAAATCAGAGCATGTCTAATAGTTGATGGAAACATTTAATGTATACATTTTTCTCTTGGAAAGCTATTATAAATTGATAATGTATCTTGCAATTGATGACATCTTCTAATTGAAGAGGAGTCCCTAGGTGGTGCAAAATTAATGTGCTCGGCTGCTGACCGAAAGGTGGGAGGTTTGAGTCCACCCAGAAGCACCTTGAAAAAAAAAGCCCTGGCAATCTACTTCCAAAAACTCAGCACTGAAAACCCTATGGAGCACAGTTCCACTCTGACACAAATGGGATCATCACGAGTCAAGTTGACTTGAGGCCATCTGGTTTTGTAATTGAAGAAATATGGTAATTTATGCTATTACTCTGAATTTTGCTAGATTGGCTCTGTTATCTAAATTATGGTTAGGTTATTTAGCAATGGCTCCTTTTCCAGTGAGAAACAAGAACACAGTACATCACTTCCTTGGACAAAATTCCCAACATTCTATATTTTTGTCACACTAACAATCTCTAACGAGGTTGATGAAAAGTCATTTAATGAACAACACAGGAGTGGCCTAATGGTGTTTTGCATGTTGTATCAACTTACAGCTAAGTGGAAAAAAAGCTAGAGAGAAGTACCAAGATCATGGAAGTTGTATATTCTTTCTCTTTATCCTCTTTGCTACAGTCCAGACTTCCATCATCAGAATAAGTGTCCTCATTTCAAAACATCTGGTTTCTCAAATTCCCATGGATGAGAGCCCCTGAAAATGGTCCATTTCTTTTGGGCATCCCAGATTGACAAAGGCATTGCAGTCAAGCTATAATGGTAGATGTTGCCTGGGTTTGTGTATCAGTATAATTCACACAGTCGTCTTTCCGCAGGTTTGAAAAAATGGTCTACACGTATCGAATCTTCCGAGAGAAAAATGGGTACTACAAGATACAGGTAAGAATATTCAAAGGCTCTTGCAATAACAACAGAAAAAGTTGAGGGAGGAGAATCTGAGATCATCTCTTGAACCTGAGAAGTCACCACACCGAGGCACTCTAAAAAGGGCAGCACATAGAGAGTTAAGAGTCAGATCAGTAGTTAACGTTGTCTTTCTCTGTAAGAAACAAAAAGGAACTGGAGTTGAGAGGCCACAGCTATTGTTCTTCAGAAGTACAGAAGCAAACAACCCTGGTTCCCTCAGTGGTCAAATGCAGGAACCTGGACTTTATGCAACACCACTGTTGAATTAGAAGGCTAAATAATAACCTAGGATAGGGTTGAAAGGGGAAGGTGGGGAGAGGTATGAATGTTTAGGAAGTGGACTCCATAACCCACTCATTGGCGTCGAGTAGATTCCGACTTGTACCAACCCTATAGGACAGAGTAGAACTGCCCCATAGAGTTTCCAAGGAGTGGCTGGTGGATTCGAACTGCTGACCTTTTGTTAGCAGCCAAGCTCTTAACCACTCTGCCACCAGGGCTCTGAAGTGTACTCCATAGTTGCATAAAAATATAAAAGGAAACATCAGTCAGCTAGAAGTTTTATGGGTTTATTTTTCTGGTTTATTGAAGGCTAAGCAGAAAAACCTTTCTGCATCTTTTGAATTTAATTCTCTGGCTTGAGAGGTACAGTATAATAAACATAATTGAACTTTTTAATTTCTTAGAATATCCTGAAATAATCGTTCTGAAACACTTGCATACAAAGTTAAACAGGTTCTTTACTGCAAGATTTCTCAGAATCTTCAATATGCTAATTTGTATTGTGAATAGCTGAGAGAGATTAGAATGTGCAATGATCTGCTTATATATATAATTTTCTTTCGCTTTAAAAGACTAGTATTATTGAAGCAATTGGCAAAATTTGACTAAGGCCTGTAGATTAGCTAATAGTACTATTTCAAGGTTAATTGTCCGATTTTGCTAATTGTAGTGAGATTATCTAGTGTCCTTGCTTTTTAAGGAAACACACAAGTATTTAGGGTTAAAGGGACATCATATCTGCAACTTAATCTCAAAAAGTATTTTTTTTTTTAAGAATACATATATATACACACATATCTCTTTAAAGAGAGAGAGAAGGAAAAACAAATATAATAAAATGTTAACATCTGGGGTCTGGATGAAGGATATATTTGGGAGGTTTTTGTACATGTTTCTGCAACTTTTCTGTAAGTCAGAAATTATCTCAAAATAAAGCTTTTTAAAAAGCAACTCATTTAAAAACAGCTTTTCTTGTAGCTGAGACATTTAAGTGGCAGCACGTCTGAGTCAATGGCGGTGAAAACAATACGGGTAGAGATAGCGAGAATGACGTCACAACCTGAAGAACATAACCAATGTTACTGAATTGTAGATGTAGAAAGTGATGAATAAGTGTGTATTCTGCCATGTATATTTTCACCCAAATTAAAATTAAAAGAAAAAAAAACCAACATTTTTTCTTTGCAGTGCATACTTCGGGGAATTCTGGATAGTTCCCTAATTCCCAGAGCTATTGTATCTCGTATCTGGACAAACCAGAGATGCATCCAGAGCAGTTATCACGCAGACATGGGGCGGCATTTCACTGAGGCCGGCACTCGGAGCTTATGATAGACGGTGCTCACTACAAGGCCTCCCCGCAGACGACTTAAATGTCAGCCTCTGTCTCCGTCACAGAGGTTAACCAGACTGCGCCATGGTTTCAGTAGCACGACCCGGTGGTCATATGAGAACCCACAGTCATCATCACTAACAACCACATACATGAGAGTGGAGGAAGCAAATTCCTTTTCATTATTTCTGTAATAATAAATTCCTTTTCTACTTGCAAATGGTACTTCCAGTTAAAATCAGAATTTTCTTTTCCTCTTATTTTCTTCTCATGCAGATTCTGGATTTATCAAGTACGTAGATTGCATATTTTGCATTTCCCATCAGAGGTCCACTTCTGTCAGTCCCCTAAGATAGCAAAGCAGGTTTCTAGTCGGCAAGGCACTGGGTCTGATGTAAGCTTCTGAAGGGGTAGCCTTCACAGCAGATCTACAAGAACTGCCCCAGACAAACTTGCCAAGGATGGGGGGGAATCACTCTGCCTGCCAGACTGAACTGGGAGTCTCTTGATTATTAATCCTCTTTACTCAGAGCAGCTCAAATCAGAGGTTGGTCTTAAAAAATGAAGGTTTCTGTGTATTATGATCAGTGTGAGTTAAGCATGAATTGCCAGCTATTTATTTTCAGTTAAGGTCCCTGGGTGGTACCAACAGTTTATGCTTGACTACTGGTAGAAAAGTTCACAGTCTGAACCTACCCAGCAGCTGGCGATCTGCTTCTGTAAAGACTACAGCCCAGAAAGCCCTATGGAACAGTTCTCCTCTGTAACACATGGGGTCCCCATGAGTCCCAACTGACTCGATGGCAATAGGTTTGATTTTTTTTTTTTTCTTTAAATTTTTGTTTTCAGTTTGTTGACTCACAGAGGCAGCCTGCCTTGAAAACCATGGTTTTGAAAAGTGTCATATTTCACAATGGCACGGTGATGAGTGATTTCCTTTCTTGTATTTTTGCAGACTGCGGAAGGCACTCAAAAACAGCTCTTTCCAAGCCTAAGAGAATTGATCTCCAAATATCAAAAACCAAATCAAGGGCTGGTGGTCCGCCTTTTAAACCCAGTAATGAGCACACACCTGAGATGCAGAAGATTGAAGATACAGTTGAATGATATTTATGGTAAAAACTTTCATATGGGAGTCGGGGAGGAGCCTTAGTCCCATTTCCCCCACTGGTCTGCTTTGCAAAATCAGGGTGATCTGGCTGTTGGAATTTCTGTTTTTCTTCTGCAAGTGGAAAAATGGTCCAACTAAATCCAAGGAGACAGTGATAACAGTCAACAGGCTGCTAGCTGAATGCTTAATGCATTTTCTGTTTAGCTATTTTGATCTGCATCATGTAAGAATCGAAAGGGCTATTTGTGTGTGTGTGTGTGTGTGTGAGTGTGTGTTTGTACTCGGTTTGGTAGTTCTGTGATTTGAAATGGCTTAGGGGTAGTATGCTGGGGTTTTCGTTAAAACTGTAAACCATTTGAATTACTACAGTTGCAGATATGTTAGAATATTGTTTTAGTATTCTAAGGAACTAATTCCTAGCCCACAGAAAGGGAAAAAAAATTTCACGGTCCCACCTCTACATTGGCACTGAAAGATATTTTAACCCTTTAGTCCACAGTCATTCATTCTCTGGTATTCATTTTTCTCTGATTTTAGAGATTAAAGCACAAAGCCTCATTCTCTAAGTGGTTTTATAGTCATTTTTCAATTTTTTTTTTTTTTTTTTACTGGTGATAAGAAAAGATCTCTTTTTCATAGTGCTTCTGGAAAAGGAAGCAATGAATTTTCTTTCTTAACCATTCTTTTGCAAAGTTTGTGTTTTTTTTAAAGCCTTGGTACATAATAATTACACTTAATTTAAGCTAATTAAGGAACCCAAATGAAAAATAAGGTTTCTCTTTGATGTTTTTTGTAAGGTAGCTTTAAAGACTTTTGTTCAGACCTCTGTAGTGATAACTAGAATATTCCATTATTGGATAAAATAAGACCACCAACTTCTGTTCTTCGGTTCTTGCATTGCATTGTATTGCCTTTGAAATGTTAACTTTTAAGAAGGGCTTGAAACCAATGAAAGATTCAGTCATAACGTTAATTATTGAGACAGTTAATATGGAGTGACTCCTTTCTAACTATGTTTTCACCCTAACCCCATTCCTGTGTTGAATAATATATTTATCTCAGGAGGAACAGTCAGAGAAAGGAATGAGATGGATGCTCAAACCAGTTATACTGCATGGCAGCACAGGCAACTTAGGTTAAATTTAGAAATAAGCGCTATAAAACGAGATTTGGGTATTTTCTGTGGTTTATCTTTATTTTAAGGATATGGTCTTATTCTTACATAATTTTAATAAATAAAATTACCATTTTAGGAAAATAAAGGAAGCAGGTCACTATTTGAAGAAAATGATCAAGCTGGCTCAGCGCTCTCATTCAGCACTAGGAAGACCTCCTGGCTGCTGCCCATTCTGATTGGTTGGTGTCTGTGTTATGATATTATTGTTAGCTGCCATGGAGTCGGCACCAACTCATAGGGACCCCATGCACAACGAAAACTTTGTGATCCATAGGGTTTTCATTGGCTGATTTTTTTGGAAGTAAATCACCAGGCCTTTCTTCTTAGTCTGTCTTAGTCTGGAAGCTCTGCTGAAACCTGTTTGGTGTTACTGCAACACACAGGGATCCATTGACAGATGAGTGTTGGCTGTACATGAGGTGCATTGGCCAGGAATTGGACCTGGGTCTCCTTCATGGAAGGCAAGAATTCTACCATTAAACCACCAATGCCCCCTGCCTGTGTCATACCAGGGTTAAATATTTTTAGCATCACACCTGGGCCTCTGTTGCTGTCCTGTTGGGCTAGATTTGAGATATTCCCCATGAAATGCAGCAAAATTCCTTAATTTGAAAGGTTATGGTTTACCTTCCGTATCTGATAGGAATTGGAAACACCCAGACCAGATGCGATCAAGAACTGAAGCTCTAGTAAATTTTTTTTTTTTTAGGATGGCAGGCATGGGAGAACTTCCACGGTTAAGGAGACCCTGAAGACTGGAGAAGGCTTCCCAGATTTGGGGAAATATGCTTATCAAGTAATTCAGCAAATATCTATTGAGAGTATATATATCCTCTGCTAGGTTTGGTGAGATCCAAGGTGAAGTTAACAACACAGTCCTTCACTGAACGTCACTGTCTACTTGTGCAAAAAACAAAAACTTTTGATACGAATTGGGATATCATGCTTGTTTTAACCTGGACTGTTAAAGTGATGTCCAACCTTCGTAAAGTTTTTTTTTTTTTTTATTGTACTTCAGGTGAAGGCTTACAGAACAAATAGTTTCTCATGAAACACTAGTACACATATTGTTTTATGA